CACACACACACACACACACGTGCATGCGCCTGCAGCCACCCTCGACTCCCAGGTAGGTGTGCCGGAACGCAGGTGCAATATATACATATATAATCATATATATATATACATATACACATGTCTTATCATCAGCTTCGAAGGCGGCATGTGCGTGTCCTCAGTCCTCAGCATCTTCAACCTCAAAACATGTAACATGCTCCATCATTGCAGTATCCACAATACTCAGCACCGGCACCGGCGTGCTCATCACTACCTGGATAGTGCAGCGCTTGCCAATCGCTCGTGCTGTACGCTAGCCTCCGTCCACCCCCTCTGGACTCAAGTTCCACCAGCAGCCAGCCATCGATCACTCGGAACACTAGGACCATGGACCATGGAACACAACACAGCCGCTCGAACTGTGACGCTTCCACACTGTGATTAAAACCATGACCAACGTAAGCGATCCAAAGGTTCCAAGCGTTCCAGCACAACACCGGGCCCACCCATCATTTCCTCGCCATGCATTCCAACCCACATTCTGGGCATCCTCATCAAAGATTTTAATCAAAGCGTCAGGACATGTTTTTCGGATCCTGTTGGCAGAATTTTCCTGGACGTTTTTTGTGTTTTTTGTGTACCAAGATTGTTAAGGCTAAGGTCCACGTTTGGTCCACTACTCGTACCCTTCACAAATCCTCGGCCAGACAGTGATTCCACTTACCAGAGCACCATGTTCACACGTTCTAAGCATTTCCAAAGAGACCTCATTATATACTCATTACCTTTGTTGTATAGTACAGTATTGTATTACTTTGTTCTTCTCCATGTCGATGGGATTGGTTCGCACCCATTTTGTCCGTGACTTTCGCTGTGTAAAAGTCTAAACTACTCCCATACTCTCAAGCAATCTGACAAGCTCATGTTTTCTAAACAATCTGTCAAACCCAGGCCTTTTCTTCATGTTCCGAGATCTGGCGGACCTCTCTCAGTGGATCGTTGAACCACCCCGCAGCAGCACCATGGCCACCTGGCGCTCCAAAAACCTGCTCTCTGTCGTGACTCTGGGACCGATCGGACTCGGTGCTGTCTTCAAGGCGGGTGGAGGTCGAACAGATCGAGTGGCCATTTTGCTTTGTAAAGCAAACGCAGATGTTGAACGCTTGCGATTTGATGGTTTGCTTATGTTTGCTTTGCTTTAGTTCTATCCTGGATTTGATTTGTTTCATGGCCCAAGCTATTTCAGAGTTGCTGTCCCTTTGGAAGGTCGTTTATCCATGGGTTTGTTCGTGGCCAACATTTCTGGCGATCACTGGCTGGACTGGTCTTCTATTCTTTTCCTCAGCCATCAATCCGCACATCATGATGCGCGCCAGGAACCTTGGCAGGGCTCCAAGGTCCTTTGAATAATTTGCATATTTGGCCATAGACAGCATGCATGTAGAGTAGAATTGGTACTGGCATGGACTTTGCCAGCCTACTTTCAAGTTTGTTAAAGTTTGTTCGGTAGCAATGAACAGGATACCTATGAACTGTGCCGCCTTTGACCCCAAGCCTTTGGAAACGGCGTACGTGACTCTGCTCCCCAAATGTTTGGCCATCAAGTAGGCCATCCACCCAATGTTGCAATTACAGCGCATCAAAGACTTGTTTTTGTTCCCCACATACTACTGTTGGGTTGTCGTTTTTACCGGGCTGGGCTGGAATGTTGTGCTTAAGATAGCAACTTGCTTGATTGGTTGACATTTGGAACAGGAGAGTTTCAATGATATCAGCAGTGACACAATGTGACAAGTAGTTTTACAGCTTCATGCTAGACACAGCATTTCCTCAGCAATATGTTTCAATGCCCCTGCGAGGAACAAAGCAAAAGGTTCTGAGGGTGCAGTCTTTGTCTCTCAGCAGGAGGCCTTGAGCATGCTTCCAGCTGGAGCCGAGGAGACGTGCATCATCTTGGAGGTGAATGGCAGGGCAGTGGCATACCCGGATACTCAGGTGCGACAGATCGGAGTGGGGAGCGAGCAGAGTCGGGTAGTGCGAGTGAGTGAAACGAGAGTCGGACGGGTCGGGAGGCCACGGGATGCGAAGGGGCGAAGGGTTGGTGGAAGACGTGGTGTTCCAAGGCGCTAGGAGCAGGGACGCTACTAGGAACAAGTGCCACGCTAGTAGTAACAGGTGCCTTACTAG